TTTTTTATCGAATTTGAGTCACTATCTCGCTATAGTCGCCACAAAACTTACTTAGAAAGTTCTTGTCCTTCGCTAATGGCGCTCGTTTCTTGATGTATAGGTGGTCGTTATTGTATCAAAAAGAGGGGCCAAATCTAATCATCTGTTGGAAATGAAAAGGATGCGTTTTACTTTCCGAAACTGCTTAGATGTACTAAGCGCAATCTTTTATACGTTTTGGCGCTATTTTTCTCTATGTCACAGCATATTTCTCATCATATATTGATTATGTTCTACCACAGAGAATGTTAAATATGATTTGTTTTTCAGAAAGAAGTGAAACCCGACTCTCGCTTCCAGTTCAAACTTGATTCCAAGGGAAATGACTCCTACTCCGCTATTCTACAAATTAAGGTTGTTGTTTCTAATTGATTAATTTATTCTATATACTTCAACAATTCGCCATATCAATGCTGTAATCATTCAAAACAAATTATTATAACATTGGTTATGGCTAATAGGTGCGTTTTTTTGCTAACGAAGGCAATCTTTTTTCTTACTTTTTCTTGCATTATCTTTCCCGCCAAAATTACGATGTTGGTGGTGCGCGAGTGAAGTGAGGTGGCTTGAGTAGTAGGACCTTTGTATTGAAGTTACGGTAAATTCTATATCCCTAGTGGTAAGCATTTCTACAGCATGTGAACTGAACATGTTTCTCGCTCTGCGCTCATGGAATATTTCCAGGACCTTGCCGACAGCGATGCCGGAGGCTATCGATGTGCTATCGTCAACCCTCACGGAAAGGGAAATGCAAACTTCAACTTGAAGCTCACGGGTACGTCAGCCTGTACCACAGTCTGCCTTGAATTTGCCTAGTACTGTGAATTTTTTGGATTCGAATGAATCCCATCTATCGCTTAACTTTGTGCTGAAGAAAAGTCGATTATTGCATTAAAGCTCGGGCAAATGGTCATTGAAGTTTTTGTTGTATATACTTGACTGAGTGTGACACATGATCCCTGCTTGAACCTTTGTTTTTGAGTCTTTGACGTTTTCTCATGTGCGCAGTGCAATTAGCCGGTCACCGGATAAGTATAGCTGCATCTAGATAACGCAATGAAAATGAAAATAAGATATCAGTACCTGAACATTGGCAGCAAGATTGTGTTGGCTTCACGCATGTACTATTAAAGACAATCCATTATTTTTGATTGCAGGTTTCTCTTCTCCTACTTTCGTGGAGAAGCCGCAAATATCCTCGCGCGATGACGGCCAAGTGATGGTTATGGAGTTTCGCGCTAAGTCGATTCTCAAGCCCACCTTCGTTTGGCACAAGGTCTGTCCTTTTTGCTCTTATCGTGAGCGCAATGTTTTGTCACCTGCAGAGGAGAAAAAGTGTTTTTAGGGGGATGAAATTGTTGCTCAATCGGATAGAGTGAACATTGTTCTTAGGGAGGAAGCTAA